GAGTTGCGGATTGCTAAGGAAGTCTCCGTACGGCTTCACAATGAGCTCGAAAATGCCGAAGAAAAAAGATATAAACTGGAAGTAAGCTAACTCTCTTCCCGCAGGCAATGCCTTTCAATTCTGCGTATAGAGGACGTAAAAAAATGCAAAATGTTATCTCAAAGAATTTTAAAAAAAGGTCGTAACCTCTTCAAAGTTTACTCTCTATGGAAAGCTGAAGCATGCGGAAGTAGACTGAACAGTAGAGCGTATCAACTACAACCATCGTTGGCAGTATCGCCGATGAACCTGTTCTGCTTAAATTTTCAAGTTGTGTGTCTATTCGATAAGCGTCAGTAACAGTTTATCAACGAAACGAATGAAGAAATCATAAACATACTGGTAGTCCCATTGACAAAATCTATCCCTCAATCCTAAGCATGACAGAAGCGTTACTCGCCACGGCGCCAAAAGGTCGTCATTACTAACTCACCCACTCATCACACGATGAATTATAGTTCCCTCAATTCTGTGCTTGTTACCTGTATTTGGTGTTGTGAAAACTACCTTTTGAGTGGTTAAATTGCGTTAAAAAAGCAAAAATTACGAATCTGAGAATCATGATTATGTGCTTTTATTGTATTATTTGATTGGTACTGGAAAACAGGAGCACTCTTGCGAGACTGAACAACTATAAAAAAAGTTTTTTTGATGGGCGGAAAATCTACTTCGCACATTTTTTCAGGATGATGTGTTCTATCTGAAAGATAAAGTGAGGGAGTTACAAACTCAGAACAAATGGCGAGAGGCTCGAAATCGCACCGAATTGCAAACGGTACTTTTTCTGACAAACTTGTGCTAAGTACACGTTCGTGAGAAATCTACAGTGAAATTATGTGTTGGCGAATAATATTTGCTATTCCGTTACATCTAGTAGCGGGTCAGAGTGGTGCAGTGAGCGGAACTGAACCTTTTGCAGAAACGAACAAGTGCAGATCTGTCGCCGAGTTCCACAGATTCGGAAACAAGCAAGGAAATGAGGGATGTTTTAGAACGCGAAGCAGACTTACGCGATCAGCTTAAATTCGCCGAAGAAGATTTGAGGCGAACGCAACTTAGGCTACAAGTACGGAATTCTGGATTTAAAGACGAAGGGCTGTATCAACTACAAAAGAGATGTAATAGTTGATGAATTTCAGGATGTTGAAAACGAAAACGAGGAGCTACTGAGGAAACTAACTCGGCTAAAAACAGTGAAGAGGCCACCGATGACACGCTCTTTCAGGTAAAATCCTTGCTCGCTTTCTTTTTCCTCATTCCCTAACGCTGTTCATGTTTGTGTGAAGCTGAGCACTTCAGCAGCATGCATTTGCCCTGCCAACTTTCACTTAGATAAGCTCATTTCATGCCTAAAACCTCCATCGTTACCCCGTCGTGCAGAAAATTTAGAATACAAGTGTAGAAATTATCCAAGTAATTCTTCCTCAGCTTCAACAGAGGACCCGTATGTTATCCGTGCCTTTTTGAGGTATACACAAATAACTCTGTATAGCCATATATATGTAATATGTCGCCTCCTACATATTTGAATATCACAGATAATGATATCCTATACATCACCCAAGTGCTTTCGGCATACGCCATAGCGCAATGAGCATCTTTTTCTAACAGTGTTTCTGACAATTCTTTCACAGAATTTTATAACAGAAAGCACCTGCTCATAAATTTTTATTTCTATTTAGCATTTGTCACATTAGCAACAAGCTGTTGCTAGTGTAACATGCTTACTTAAGTACTTCATAAAACCGTTATTTCATTGTTATGCGCTTTCTTTCTATTGCTGCAGCTAGCATCGTTTCCGCTCTATCAGTTTAACTCAGTTTATAGGCCCCCAAATAGCCCATTAGATCGTCGTTACTATGGAAAGTGAAAGCAGCCATTATTAGTATCATAGATGCGATGCAGTGAAAAATTTGCATACTTCCTTAAAAAAAGTGGTTTCGCCGTCCTCACTGGTTCCAGGAATGCATGGGCCCTTCCACTACTGTAATTACTGTAAACTTTAAAAATTTCAGTTGTTTGGGAACCTTGAAAAATTACAAGTTTGAAGATTCTACACTTAACAGGTATATAAGCAGATTGTAGATGGAATCTCGAAATTTTTTAAAATTAGAGGGCTGAACATATCTGATGCTGTATTCTTTTTTTTGCACG